TGATCTGATCGGGAACTGACTGTCTACTGCTGTTGCTGCTGCTGCGGAAATCCTCCGGTTGTAATTCCCATGACTTACTCAATCAAATACAGCTAACTGTCCTTTGGGTAAAAAGACCATTTTACCTCTGATCATGCCCTAAGTCAAAGTTAGAGTCAACTTTCAGTTGACCCGACTCGCCGAGTTGGCTCACCAACTCGCCGAGTCCCTGTCCAATCGACTGACCTGGATTTTATTTCTACTTGTCGAGTTAGGCGTTGACTCGATGAGTTCTCCATCCAAACTGATGTGCAAGTCCTTCATCCTACTCACCGAGTTGTATAAAACAACTCGGCGAGTTCATCTTCATCCGATGAACACTTATGCTGCGACTCGCCGAGTTGTATGAACAACTCGCCGAGTCTGATCTTGATCTAAGGAGATTGCCTTGAACTCGCCGAGTTCCATTATGGGTGAGTTTTGGCTTCCAACTCATCGAGTCCAACCTGGACTCACTCCACAACTCGACACGGCTAAAAAGGGACAATCTCGGAGACTCGCGACTAGACTTGCCGAGTCAGATGAGCGACTCGTCGAGTCTGCTTCATGAAAGAGCCATATACGCGATTTTGCTTGAATCTAGTCCATGTCGTTCATAGATCTGGGTTCCTAGAGCATGAATAACATGTAAAGTTTCCAACTTTACGTGTAAATATTCATCCATGAGGGTTTTAGGGTTCAAAATGCACCAAAAGAGTAGATCTAAGGTCTTCATGCAACATGGGTCCATAAAGGTAGTAGATCTGAGCTCCTGGAGCTCAACCATGCCTAGATCTAGAGGCCAATCAACTTATTACGAAATATAATGCACATACAAGCTTGGGGAAGGGCTCAAGGAAGACTTTAATGGAGTTATAAGCATAGAGACAGGGGAAAACGAGTTTTACCTCAAAGAAATCACTGAGAGAACACTAAGATGCTTGGCTTCCTTCCCTTCCTCTTGATCTACTCCACTTCCTTCTTAAAATCTTCAAGAACACACACTAAAATTCCTCAAACTCACAAGAACAAGAGCTAGAACGTATAGAGAGCTTCTGGGGGTGAATGGGGCGGTGTTGGGGCGCAAATGGTTGTTTAAATAGAGTGCAAACCCTTGGAAATTAGGGTTTCATCAGACATCGCAGACCCCGCCGAGTCCATAATATGGACTCATCGAGTCGACATCTTAACCGCGCCCCAAAGTCTCGTCTCTACTCGGCGAGTCGGGCCTCCAACTTGCCGAGTCCACGGCCAAAAACACAAAGTACTTAGGCAAAACTCACGTACCAGGAACCAGATGCTACATCTACCCTTTTTAACCCAGGTCTTCGGTAGGGAATACCCACAAAGGATCAAATCACGTCTCACAAAGAGGTATTTTTCCTTCCATGCTCCATCATTACATTTTGTTTTTTTCAGAACGAGAGGGGACTTCTGAGATTTGAATCCGAGAAGAAAACGGGAGCTTCCAGAAGTAGTAAGATCATACACATGAGCCAACTCAGCCAAACCTATGTCAAGGTCTTTGGACTGGTTCAATTTATCGATCCCGAACAAGGTCGTCAAAACAATAGGCATGGCTTGAATGAAGGCGATTTTGGTGACTTCGAAGAATTTGGAGATGATTCCAGAAAAGGGGTACTTCAAACCCAAAGAAAAGGGGGTATTCGGAGAAGCAGATCCAAGAGGAGGATACAAAATTAGATTGATACTTCGGGTTGAAAGGTTGGAAAATAACATCATCTCGAAAAGCTCTAGCCGATTTCGACAACTCGATATCACCCTCATCAAAAGAACAGATCTCGCCGTATGACATGATTTTTTGATCGACAAAATCCTCCTCAAGAGGTGCGAGAATTTTATTATGAGTGATGGTTATTTTCTTGCCCATGCTCAGTAAAAAGAAAACTAAGAAGAAATATTGAGAAGAATGACTTCAAAGATGACTGATAAACCCTTGGATGAAAGCTAAATGAATGCGGGGAGGAATAGCTCTAATCGATGGCTTCTATTTATGCTGATGACAAAAGAAAGAGGAAGGTCGATTTGACTGGTTAATGATGATTATTGAATGGATAAATTCTATCCGTTAGGGTTTAAAATTCAAATCCTTTATCACTTTATTTTTTATTTTTATTTTAAATTATCCCTTTAAATATTGGCAAACTAACCTCAAATACTTCGCATGAATAATTTGGGGTCAATTGTTAGGGCCAGGATCCCGGAATTACATTCATTATCCTCAAACCTCAGGATCCTTAAAAATACTTCAGGACCCTGACTATTATTGTTTATTGTCCTAACGTTTATTATGGTTATGTGCTTTGTTATTTTTCTCACATGTGCAGAAATAGTTAGCCAAAAGACTTATTCTCAACGAATAGTCATCTTGACCATGCAAAAGACTCGGAAGACAAAGTCAACTAACATCTATAAGTTGATCTCGGAGGATCCCAGAATTGTCGGACTTCTTGTTATTAGCTTTAGACTATAATAAAAACCTGTATTCATCACACTAAAGACGACACTAGCAGAACTATGATACTTGTACTTGCTTTTTAAACATACATCTATGAAATTAACATTTTCAATCAATAAAACTATCAAGGCAGGTGATCATTATCGCCTCCCAAGGTTTTATGCTGAAGATCCTAGCAAGGATCAAGGGATTTCCTTGCAAATCATTGGTGGTATTTTGATCATCATTTCATATTCAGTCTACTCTGAACATCACATCCTCTCATACGATTTGGCTGATTAGTGATTGTTTATTTTTTGACCAAAACAGCCACGTGCTCCTCAGGATCTGTAGTCCCATCATAAGGCCTCATGCTGGGGCTTTGGAAGCGCTTTGGGACTTTGGTGTTAGCAATTGCCGGAACAAATCTTAAGATCATGTGGCTTATGGGGGACACTTCTGGTATAGGCTGAACTACTCCAGGCCCGCTTGATATCATTTGTCTTAGTTGCTGGAGCTCCTTAGCTATGGCCGGGCTTAAACATGTATTAAGATATATTGAGTTAGTAGTAAAGATACTATTATTGACGGGGTTATCAGGATCCTTATTATTGGGAGTAACAAAGGTTGCATTGGGGATCCTGGGTCATATGGGCATGTTCTCTTGGAGTTGCGCCCCAGGCAGGAGCAGAGGCCGATATTGAGGATCTTATCTCGCAGCGAATCGTTGAGGATCTCGTGTTGTCAAAGTTTAGGATCTTGTGCTGCAAATGGTGCTTCTTCCTGAGACTTGTGGATTTTTGTCCTCATTCTCTCCACTTCCTTGAGAATTGTCCTGTTATCCTCCTGCTGTTGGGCGACTTGTCATTCTAGTCTGTTCATCATAGTGAATATTTAATTGTTTGAAATCAGCACAGGAGGATCCTGGAGTCATGGGGTTACGACCGAAGACGTGTTTTTCTTCGGTGCTTTTGAGGCTTTCTTGGGAGCTTCAACCGGAGGTGGTGGAAGGTTTTTGGAGGCAATGGGAGGAATTGAGGAAGATGATAGGGTTGATTGTGTAGATATGATATTTCGAAGGATTTTGAACACCATGGCCCCACGGTGGGTGCCAATTTGTTTTGGTCAAAAATGAACAATCAGTAATCAGCCAAATTGTATGAGAGGCTGCGATGTTCAAGGTAGAATGAATATCAATGAATGATCAAAGTAATACAAGTGATTTACAAGGAAAGTCCTTGATCTTTGTTAGGATCTCCAACACAAAACCTTGGGAGGTGAGATCACCTGCCTTGATAGTTTATTGATTAAAAATGTTGATTACAGAGAAGAATATATGAAAAGCAAGTACAAGTATCGTAGTTCAGCTAAGTGTCGCGTGTAGTTTGATGAATACATGTGTTTTTTATATTCTAAAGCTAATAACAAGAAGTCCTACAATTCTGGGATCCTCTGAGATCAACTTATAGACATTATTTGACTTGGTCTTCCAGGCCTTTTGCATGGTCACGATGACTATTCGTTGAGACTAAGTCTTTGGCTAGTTATTTATGCACATGTGAGAAAAATGACGAAGCATATAACTGTTATATATGTTAGGAAAATAAATGATAATAGTTAGGATCTTTAAGTATTTTTGAGGATCCTGAATATAATTCCACGATCTTGGTCTAACAGGGACGAGGAGGAAAAAGGAGAGAAAACCTGGACACGATCTTGTTCCTCAGAACTCTTTGGTTGTAAGCTCAAATCAAATGATTAGGTTTAATTTAATTTTCTTGGTATTATGCTCACAAGTGGGTTTCAAAAATGGAAGACAAGGTAAAAGTAGGAGAGGTTGGTCAGAAGATGATGGATGAGGAATGAGTAAGGAATGGGGTAAGTGAGGGTCAAGTGGGCCAGTCTAGAAATACATATATAAAAAATTAATTAAAAAATATATTGATACGGGTATAATAATCTTTTTAATTGAATCAATGACCAAATGCGTAATAAAAACATATCATAGAACGGTACGAATTAAAAAAATAAGTTATAAACTAAACGCCCAAATTATTCAAAACCATAAGGACCATTCGTGTAATTTCCTCAAAAGATTATAGATTGGGGATCATATATGAAGGATAATTACGGGGAGAGTAAAAGAAATAAAAAGACAAGTTTGTCCCATTTGTATCATTGAGATGCCAAACAAGGAAAACGTGTCGCCCATGAGACTGTCGGGGAAATTTTGTAAGAACCCCAAATTCCCGCCGGCGATTATACCAACAGCTTTAAAATCAAAGCAAAATTGAAATCAGAAAAATAGGAAATTGCATTTAATAACAATTTGCAAAATCGTCTGCTAAAATTGATAACATCATGTTCACTAAATTATATAAAAGAGAAACCGAAGATCGGATCTGGTATTTACACACACACCGCGGCGACGCTGATGATCGGCGGTGAAAGATCTTATCGGTAACTAAGTTGTACCCTGTTCACTAAATTATACAAACAGTACAATATCTATGCGTTCGAATTTTTATTCCTCTGGTGGCGGAAAGTTGAGATCGATTCCAATAAGCCGCCGCGACGGAGACGGATTCCCGTCGACAACTGACGAGGAGTCGGAGCCTTCGCAGTGTGCAGGAACGGCGGAAAGGCTTTCGTCAAAGTATAGCATCTGTATCTGGCTCGCCGGCGGCGTGAAATATCCGTTTTCTTTTTCCACAGCTGAGGTAGCAGCGACGCCGTACGAGAGGTTGAGATCAAACGCCACCACCGGTTCCGGATCGCGACTCGAAGACTCAACGGTACTGCTCTGACTCGGACTGTATTGACTCAAGCCATTGTAATAATACATAGGAAAATTAGTTTTCGCCTTAGGACCACGAAACTCACGCGCCGCCGCGTCGTAAGCTTTAGCGGCCTTCTCCGCCGTATCAAAGGTGCCTAACCAGACACGAGTTTTCTTGTGAGGATCACGGATCTCGGCGGCGTATCTCCCCCATGGCCTCTTCCTAACTCCTCTATAGTGCGCCTCCATGTTACTGTTGATTTTAGCAGAATCGGAGATTGTCTGTTTGGAATTGGGCGCCATTTTGGTATACAGAAAAATGACTATTGAGCGACTTTATATAGCCGGTTCACGGGAAACTGGAATAACGCGGCGGTTGACTAAAAGTTCGAAACGCGGCCACGTGGCATGGCGGCATACTACTGTACTGAAGTATATGTGTGTTTCCGATGAAAGTAGAACATATGTTTTATGATAAAAAAAAGATATATTATTATTATTACGCACGTGGGTTTCTGTTAGCTTGTTTTTCATTAAAAGAAAGAAAATAGTAAAACTTGTTTGTTTTACTCGTTGAAAAAAGTCTATAAATTAAATTTCTCATCAAACTATTTTCATGTTGATCATAAATAATAACTATAAGATAATTTTTGTATAATTTTGTTTTACTACATAAAATTATTCATTGACGATTCAAAATACAGCCTTCTGGTTTCTTAATATCTGCACACAAATGAGATATAAAAAATCATATTGTTTATGATAAATGTTTATGTTTATCGGTATATAAAGTCAGTTTTTAAAGTGAATAAAAAGTCACATCATTTTGATATCGGTATGTAGTAGATGAATGAACTACCTAAGACTAAAAATGATTTTTTATTACTCTTTATTTGTGTTGAAACATGAAAGTAATAATTATAATATTAATTTATCATATGGAATAGCCTTTTAAATCTTAAAAAAAAAAACAGTCACCATGTCATAAAGAAATTGTAGGCTAAAATGAAAAGACAGAAATTTGTGTCATTTAACGAGAAAAAGGAATGTTTAAACATAAAGACTTCTTAGAGTGTTTAAATGTAAGGACTTATATGCCATCAAAAAGAGAAAGAGGATGATGTTATCCGTTCACATAGATGAAAATGATGCTATCCGTTCACAAGCTGTAAAGGTTTCTAAAATAGGAAGACCACTGAAGCAAATAGTAGATTGAGAAAAAAAAAAGAAGAAATCAATGTGATATGGTGTGGTTGAGGCAATCATGCCCCTCCAAACCATCCACCACCACATCAACATAACACAATTGAGGGTGGTGTTCATGTTGTGGTGAGGGTGTCACATCACCACCACGCCTCAACATTGCCTATATACATTATAGCCTTAAAACTAACACTTTTTTTATTTTGAAAATACACACCAGAGATCAATGGTAAAAAGAGGTAAAACAAAATTAATCCCGAGAATTAGCGATGTTATGTTATAACATGTAACACCTCGATCAGAGGTATAATAATCTTTTCCTTAACCTTCTTAATTATGTCATGTTTAGTCCCTTGAATGAGAAAGGTGGCAACCGGGGCAAGGTACGCAGGGCGTACGCATGAGTATGCGCAACATACTCATGCATCATGCAAAACCCGAAGTTCACCTAGTACGTTGGGTGTAGTGGGCTCAGAATGCAAAACCTTAATATTTTGGTGTCTATATTTAAGGAATATGATGGTCTCATTTCAGGCCACCATTAACAGCCTCCAACCTTTCCTAAACACAAAATCTTGAGTGTGTCTTGTGAGTATGATTTTGCTATCCTATTCTTGGCCTTATAGAAGAAGCGGAAGGTGTTATTCAGCTTTGAGATCTAGACACCATCCATATTTGTGCATTATTTCCAGTAATAAAGTTTGTACCTTGGCTATTATTTCTCTTAGATCTCTTTGATGCAAGATTCATGAGTTTTGATCCTCAAGGTTGGACCTTTTCGAGTTTGTGACTCTCCAAAGAGTCTAGGTCGTCCTTTCATGCATGTTAGGGTGTTTAGATGAATGAAAAGGCTTGCTTGATCTTCCTTTATGTCCCATGCATGAGTAAAATAGTTGGAAAGAGGTGAAATGATGCTATAGTCTCCTTCAGCCATGCAAAGGCTTGAAATCATTAACTTTATGGTTTAAAACGCTTTAAATTAGTCACATATGAAGTTGGGTTTAACGTCTTAATGGATTAAGACATTTTAGTAAAGGATTTAGAGATCCGGGGAGTACGCCGTGCATACTCCTGACTATGCGCAACGTAGTATGGCTGTTCCCTGTCGCATGCTTGATCAGTTGTACACCTAACGTTAGGTGTAGTATGCCTAGCATACTCACTAGGTGTTGATGTCTGTTGACTTTCTGTTGACCATGCTGACTTTGACCTTTGGTCAAATTTTAGGGCTTCAGACCTAGGGAGGGACAAAATGGTCTTTTTTCCTTTAGTGGGCTTAATTGTGGACTTTGGGAGTCGTGAGAGAATTGGACCTTAAATCTTAATTAAGGTAAATCTTTTTCGTTGAATAGGCAGAGTCTAGATACAACAGTTCGGGTGCTAGGTTTTCGAGTCATCTGTATCAGGTGAGTCTCCTTACTTACTCTTGCATGTGTGGTAGGATAATTGTATTGTTATGACCAGCTAGGTCTTGCTGTGTTATGTATGCTGTGTGATGTGTTGTTATAATAATTGTCTAGCTGGGATGCTGTTAACTAATCAGGGGTTGTGGATAACTTCCCGAGCATCCTGTTAGCTTAAGGGGACTGTTGATAGTTGTAGGGTTGCAGATAACCCATAGTTGTTGATTTTATGCTGAGTTATGTATGGTATCTTGGGGAAGTCACTAAGCTTTATGGTTACAGTTGTTGATTTACATGTGGCAGGTACTTTGCAGGACCGCGGGAAGGCAAAGGTCTTATTGTACACACACTGGGATTTTATTATTGGGACATGGTTTTTATGTACTCTGATAACAATGACACTTTTATTTTTGAGATTAGTTGTACTTGACTCTTGGTTGTGAAACTATGTTTTTCGGACACATTAAATATGAAAATTTTGGTCTAAAATTTGAGGTGTTACAATTTGGTATCAGAGACATGGTTTGAGGGATTTTGATGAACCTCGGGGGGATTCCAAAATCAAATTATAGGTTCAAACATTTTTAAGAAAATTTACCAAAAATGAAGACTTTTAGAGAAGGAAAACCCAGAGGTGCAGTATGTACAATCGACCAACGCTCGAGCAGCAGTTTGCCAAAATATCATATTCATATAGAAATACATGGCAAAATCGTTATATTATGAGTAGTTAGAATTACATGCTAATTAGGTGTACACTAATGAATTTTGTAGAATTATTATGATGCATTATCAGTCTATGATGCCTTAGCCTAAAGGTTTGCTTATATTAAGAATGAACCTGATCTTATTAATTATTTGGCGCATGCCATATAGTGGTACATATATAGGAATTTATAGCCTTAGCATGCCTAGTTTAGTCTTTCTTCCTTTTCCTTGTTTGGATGTGGATTGAGGCAGGATCATTTATTCAAATGCCTATAGAGTTTGATACTATGTACAACTCGCATACACGAGGTAATTAGTGGGCGCAGTGGAGATCTCATGAGGCAGAGCAGTAAGGGAAGTAGTCTAGAGCTGGTTTCTAGACAAGGATTGAGGTTCTTAGGATCCAGTAGAGCGAGTCTATAGCAGTTATGTCGACGTTTAGTTTTTGGGACTTGTGGGTATGATCCGAGATGAATACGGGTTGGTGTGGAAGGTAGTATTGGGTCCGTACTACTAGAAGCACTGGATCTGTATGCGGCTTGACGAATAACCACATGAACTAAAGAACCTATGAGGGTGCAAGTGTTGTTATATGTGTTGTTAGTCTTTTGCTGACAAATTTTTTATACATTTCAGTATGGTGCCTACCCGAGGTTCAGGCTCCAGTGACCTTGGGAGGTCGAGTGCTAGTGATTACGAGATTTGCAGGATGATTAACGTAGAGGTGGCCACAGCGATCCACGTGCCTATTATAGAGATGTTTGGGTCTATCAAGACCATGCTGATTAAGACTTTTGATGAGCGCTATACCGCTGTTTCTGAGGCTGCTTCTGCCGCAGCCACTAGAGCTCTCATTGTTGCGAGGCCACAATGGTGTTTCGTTGTTGTACAGGGAGTTTACCAACACAAAGCCACCCGATTTTTATATGAATTAGGACCCGACTGCTGCTATGAGGTATGTTTCTATACTTTCTCTTCTCTGGATAATTTAAGGGTCATGTTCGCTATGAACCTGCTTTGCTTGGGAGTGATGGACTGGTGGAAATTTGTGACGACTGATTACACGCCTGCAGAACATGTTGTGATGAATTCGGAGAAGTTTATTGTGATGTTCAGGGAGGAATTTATGCCCACGGTTGAGCGGGAGAGGTTAGCTCATGAGTTCTTGTCTCTCAAGCAGAAGATAGAGTAGATGACCGAGATCACCAAGATGTTCCATGAAAGGGCGTTGTTTTGCCCTGAGCAGGTATCGACTGAGCAAGCTCGAGTGGCTTGATATTTGAGTGTGTTGAGGAGGGATATCAAGGAGTTTATGGCGAACACCACATATAGCACATTATCTGAGCTTCAGACCAATGCAAGGAGGAGGGATACCAAGTTGGAGACTCAGGCTAGGGAGGAAAGAGAGGCCCATGGTAGGGATAGGAGACTAGTGCAGTCGCAGCTGGCGAATAAGCGGTCCAATCCCACTGATCAGAGGTCTGGGAACCAGAGTGGCCGCACTTGCGGGTAGTGCGGCAAGGCACATGAGGGGCCATGTCGATTTGGGTCGGCTTGCTATCTATGTGGAAAGGAGGGGTATTTGGCTAGGGAATTCCCAAAGGGATTTCGAGTTTGTTTCAGCTACAATCAAATGGACCATGTAAAGGCCGATTGTCCTTAGCTTGCATCCAGAGCGATTAAGGCGCCCCCACAATAGCACTACATATCACTGATGGTCAGCAGGGGAAGGCCGAGGCACTGAAAGCTCGAGGCAGAGGATTTTAGTTGACAGCAGAGGAGGCCCGGACAGCTCCAGATGTCGTAGCTGGTATGTACTTATTATATTTTGTTAATTTAATTATGTTGCTTATATTGTAAATTATGTAGGTATATTTCTTGTGAATTCTGTTCCTGCGCTTGTGCTTTTTGACTCAGGTGCGAGTTAGTTTTTTTGTTGTTATCCTTTAGCCGTAGTTTTAGTATTCCGTGAGAGACCTTGAGCAAGCC